GAAGCGGGCGGGGTGGAACTGGAGGCGGAGACGGGAAGTGACTCAGATTCGTCTTCTGAAAACACCGACTCCGCGGCATCCTCTGGGCGGTGCTTCTTCTTCTTCTTCTTCTTCTTCAGCATGTCATCTCGTGTGACCCGGCCCGTCTCCACCAGGAAGTCCCGGATGAGTCCAGCCTCGGTGGAAAGGATCTCCCTCAGCGTCGGCAAAGGGCCCCACGGGCGGGTCCGTGGCCCCTGGTAGGCGGGGTAGTCGACCAACAGGTGTTTGGCCGAGTCCGGTTCGTCGCAACGGACTTTCTCGTCAGACTCGGCCGGACCGAGTCGGAATCGGGTGTCTCCGGTGAGTGGGGAGCAGCTCACGCGGAGCTGTGCCACTGTGATCGACGCTCGGCGGTCCAGTTCTCTCTCCGTGGCCCAGAGCGCCACATCGTCCGCATTCGCAGATGTGTACCTCCAGTTCCCGAGCCGCAGTTATAGCCGGTCATACGAGCCTGCAGGGTTAGCGTCCGATGGCTGCGTTGGTCCTTCAGGAAGACAGCCTCCTGCTGAGTGACTCAGTGGGCGATGAGACTTGTGCACCTGCTCTGAGAGTTGCATTTGCATTTGGCGATATCCAGGAGTTGTTGAATTATGCAGTGGTGGCGCTTTGTTCCTTCCTGTGTCTCTGGTGTTTTGTTCAGAAGTCTGTAGGGCTGTCTGTAGGGCTTATAGCAGTCCCTTTTGATCACTTTCGTCGTGTGTTTTACATAGATCGCGAACAGGGATTCCTTCATTAGTTCAGAGTTGCCTTGTCCTTTTTTTCGCCACGGCCCTAAATGCACTATTTGTTGGATTTCTTCTTTGAGCACTCAGCCACCTGACATAACTGAAGGCCTCTGCTTTAGTCAGCAGTCGCTGTTGGGACAAAAGTGCCGGCTGTCCTATCACGAAATGTTTTGTACGCGGCCGTGTCACTTTCGGCAGGGCCCTATGCCATCCGGATCATAATTCACGAGGCGTAAAAAACGTAGCTGATTAGGAAATGCCCATACGACAATTATAGCACGACACAGGGAACCAGCAAAGCGCCGCCACTGCATAATTCAACAACTCCTGGATATCGCCAAATGCAAATGCAACTCTCAGAGCAGGTGCACAAGTCTCATCGCCCACTGAGCCACTCAGCAGGAGGCTGTCTTCCTGAAGGACCAACGCAGCCATCGGACGCTAACCCTGCAGGCTCGTATGACCGGCTATAACTGCGGCTCGGGAACTGGAGGTACACATCTGCGAATGCGGACGATGTGGCGCTCTGGGCCACGGAGAGAGAACTGGACCGCCGAGCGTCGATCACAGTGGCACAGCTCCGCGTGAGCTGCTCCCCACTCACCGGAGACACCCGATTCCGACTCGGTCCGGCCGAGTCTGACGAGAAAGTCCGTTGCGACGAACCGGACTCGGCCAAACACCTGTTGGTCGACTACCCCGCCTACCAGGGGCCACGGACCCGCCCGTGGGGCCCTTTGCCGACGCTGAGGGAGATCCTTTCCAACGAGGCTGGACTCATCCGGGACTTCCTGGTGGAGACGGGCCGGGTCACACGAGATGACATGCTGAAGAAGAAGAAGAAGAAGAAGAAGAAGCACCGCCCAGAGGATGCCACGGAGTCGGTGTTTTCAGAAGACGAATCTGAGTCACTTGCCGTCTCCGCCTCCACCCCGCGGCCCGCACGCTTCTCAAAATCGGGCAGCTTCTTCTTTAGTTTCAGAAGCCATGCTCGATTTAATTCATTGAGCACAATAAAAAGAATAATTGGACACTCTAAGGACATGCTTTTTTGCAACAATCAGCCTTAGAAGCGCTCAAAAGCATCATTTTCAGCGGTAGTTATTTTGCATTATTACCTCCTACAATACTTGGTGTTACTCGCAGTGCTGGGTGACGCTCAGCATTGGAGACTGCAACGCCGTGCGCCAAAACTTTGAACGGCTGGCGCCGCACGAATTTTAATTTTGGTGGACTCGGATATGGATGAAAATTCATTATTGATCAATGTGCCAAGGAAAAACCTTACGGCGTTTGATTCTGCGAGAATCACCCCCTCGATGACACACCCTAAATGTATGTATGGGTATGTTGCTTTTGATCGCGAAAGCTAAGCCCTGGCTCGCGTTTGTAGGTAGCTAGTCAATGCTCGTTCCATTTCGGCACAATGTGTTGGCTTCTTTGCTCTTAACGGGCCACTTTTGCGTCTAGTCTGTTGATGTTTCGTTCGGATTGCATTGACCTAAGTTTGGTCTAATAAAGTGAAGCCTTTGAGCATACCTATACATTGTATTAACCCCATTTAATGTTGCTGTTATGTTCAAAACCAGTAACAAGCACACTCCCTGAAACGTGAAATAGTGATACAAATTACCCCACCATGTGATACAACTCACCCAAGCCATGGGGCAAGTTGTATCAAAAACATTGTTCTATTCGGCAGACCGTAGAATAAAAACTGGTAGAGGTAGCGGAAAAGTTACTTTGCACAAAAAAGCAGAAGAATCAAGGAATAGGATAGTATGGAAATAATGAGTTTATCACGGATAGTTACGAGGTTATGGGTCTCGGAGTAAAAACTGATACAACCCACCCCACTCTCCCCTATAGGTATGTCTATGATTAAAAAACGTTTTGATGGACGGGTATAAATGAATAGGTGCCCGCATGATTGTCTATTATTAGCTTGCAGACAGCATTGGCAATATCAGGTCATATACGGAGAGCACCTGTTATTTGTATTTTCTAATGAATCACGTTCGTTTGTCGTTGTCTGGCAGTGGCCTCGGCTCCGCTGGCGGCCAGAGCAGGTGTCGCCCGCTCCAAAAGGCGTGACGAAACGCGACCACGTCAACTGGGTCGGCCACCGGTGTGTCCGCTGGGGCCCGGGGCCCCGTGTGTCGGGGACGCCGGCCCCCGGTGACCGCGCCGGGCCGAGCACGTAGGTACAGAGCAGCGGCGACCTTCGGACACCCTCGCCACCCGCCGCCGACGCGTCGGCGGGATCCTGTAGCACGGGTGTCGCTTCAAACGGGAATTGATCCGTCGTGTCAGGTTTAATTGATTCAGACATACTGAACGTGATGGTGTAAACAGCGAGTACATGAGAAAGAATAAAGGAATGAGCGACAGCTACACGAGAGTAGGTAACAGTTTTGCAGAAGGAAAATTAAATCTGAGAATGAGCTCAGTATTACCTAATACGTTGCTTAGAGAATCTTGCCTTTTCAAACGCGAACCTTTCGAAGTACATCTTTTAGATAACCTTTAAATTAACGTAAATGCATCTTGTAAAAGCCAAACATGTTTCAAGACGTTAAGTTCATTCTCTATCGTATTAGGCTGCCCACTCAGGGTATGCATATGTGATTTGGTTATAATTAGATATCGTGATATCTATATGTTGTGATCCTTAGGACTCAGCAGAGCTCAGCAGAGTTGGTTAACCTCTTCAAAACCCTACGGCAGCGTTCGCCACAAACCCGCAGCATGGGTATCCCTCAACCATCCATTCAAGATCTTTCAGCACATAGCCGCTGCAGAACCCCCTTCCTCGGCCTCTCCCAATCATGAACATCCAGCACATTAGGCGCGGCAGGGCTCCCTTTCCCGCCCACTCAGCAGCTTTCAGCACACAGCTGCAAAAGAGCTGACTTCACCGCCCATTCAGCAGCGTTCGGTATGGTCGGAAACAATGCAATAATTTAGTGTAAATGCATATTGAAGGAAAAATAATATATAATTCAGTATAAATCTAACGACTCGTCGCTTCGAAGTTTCTTCGGGATGTCATAAGTAAGTCGCAGGATAAGTATGGTATTAGGTAGGAATTAGTTTAGGTATTGAAACGTTAGATGACTTGCGTTCTCGGAAATCGGCACAAGCGGCTATAAGTCTAATCTGGGCCTTCCCGGTATTGCTACCGGACTGCTTTACGAAAGCTTACTTGCTTTTCATTCTACGTTACGAACATCCCAAACGTTTTCTAATGAATAGGGAATAAGGCGGAGGTAGCTGTTTTATCCGTCCGCATAAAAGGCGAACGGACGACTGCCATATGTTTAGATTGACACTTTGACAGCCGCCGTCTGCGTTCAAGAAAGCCAGAGCTACATTATGAACAACGCTACCATGAATTATGACCGCTATCTGAAATGTTATGGTCAGATATTTTCAACTTTACCATACAGCACTATGTATACTATACTATACAGCATTATGGATTGTCGAAGCTGACCTCAGGTCAATGCCACGTTGAAAACGGTCACCTATCACCAGATCAGGCTAGATGACATGACATCACCAGCAAAAAGTGAGTGAAAACTTCATGGTTTGAAGAATTGCTTCGATAGTTAACGTCTAGCATGTGATGATTTTATTTCATAATTCATATCTGATCCTAAAAGGGACTATTAACCCTCGTAAGTAGTTAATTCAGTATTGTAAGTGATTTTCATCCGCTTGATCATTTTCTCCATTTGGTCTCGGAGCGAAGACAGAACATAGCTCGCGGTGGGTGTTTCAGCGCATCTTCTCGGTAATGTGCAAATAAGCAAGCTTCTTGCAGCCGACTGTAAAAGAAAGGATGGGAGGAAATCTACATACATACATTTACCGTTTGGCTTATAATAAGTGCAGTACAATTTCACAGGACACGTTGGCAACATTTAGAATATGTTAAAAAGTTATACTGAAATTAGCGGGATATAAAACTTTATTCAATGGCACAAATGATCTCGGTGCACGGAGCCTGTAATAAATACACTGATGGACTGCCGATGACCGGGCGGGTCGCGTGGATGACCCGGTGGCTGACCTGTGCGCCGCGTGCCGCGCCTCCCCTGCTGGCGCGCACGCGCGGGCTGGCCTTGCACGGCGTGTCGGGGCGCTGTGCGACGCGCCGGCGGCGTGCCGTAAAAGTGGCCGCGCCGGCCGGCGTATTTATGCTGCGCGCGCCGGCCATCGCGACTAGTTGGACTGGTGTGACTCCCTGCACAGGTGAGTGCCACCTCGGCTCGCCGATTCTGCCCGCTCCCCCTCTGTGCAGCTCAGTGACGTCCCAGCTCAGCCGTGCGCCGCTCTGCGTCCGATCAGCACTCGCCCAGGGTCGGTATTGGCTTCAAAACTCCATAATTGTAGGTATTTTTTCACATGATTTAAGAATGAATTAATCTACAAATGCAATTTTAGAAAAGACCATTAACATTAACAAAGAGGACAGCATAATTTTGTACCTTTTCGTTAATCGAGGAAAGTACAATTACATACCTAACATACCTACGAATAACTGTTTTCCACTTATTTTTCTCAATATTATAATCATGTGATGTGATTGCATGTGACGAACGATTGCAAAACGATATTTTATGCTTCCCATTTTATGCACATTTTATTAGGTTGTGTGATAAAATCTCATTGCCTTAAGTTATACCTAAATGCTACGATAAATATTGCCCATAAATACAAAAAGCTCATAACTTGCTATCATTGCTCATCCTAATCGTGCCAGGTTACTACATTGTTGTAACTACTAACGTTGTAACTACTTTATTAAAAATTTCGTGCGGTGTGCGCATATTCAACAGATGTTCTTTGGCATCAGTATCATTATTTTGAACAGCAGAACTACAGCGGCAATGATGCTAATATTTCTTATTCTAAAAATATCGTTGTGATTTTTTCGCGATCCGCTTAACTTTCAAAATGGAAATGAATTTAAGATAATAAACAATAGCTGTTTGTTATAAGCAATTTGTTTTGCATTGCATTAGAGATGCCAATTGCTTTCAATCTACGCTCCAAATGCCTGCGTTAACTTAGCCATCACTGGTGCATCCAGTATAATTTGGATTAAAGGGGGCATGGGGGTACCCCTTACTCTTGACAAAATGTTATGGCTACAATAAAAGCATAAATTCGCTCACGGAGGGCGCTTGATGCCTACCTGTGGTCAAGCGCCCACCCAAAAGGTCCAACAACACACCCAATTCGGTCATGGGTGGCCTTTAATTATATATCAGTAGTGCCTTTCGGAAACCGTCTGAAAAATAGACGATATTTTTATGAAAGGAAATTAACTTCCTAAAGAAGGTAATTTCAATGTGAAAAATTATTTCAAAAACCTGGCGTGTGCAACGTGTGAAAAGAAAAGAAAAACCGCGAAAACGTGTGAAAAGGCTCGAGCATATGCGTCACGTCACACTGGGAGAACTCGTCGCAGCGTGGATGGTGACTCCATCGAGGCGCAGGTGCCTATCACCAGCGAACGGAAAGCAGCGGGTGCCCGCCCTCAGCCGAGGCGTCAATCGACTCAGATATGACTCGGGGAGTGTCGGATTTTTCAAAAGCTGTCAAACCATTAGTAAACTTGCTCTAATACTGTCATTAGGGGGTTGTCTCACCAGTCATTCTTCGGCAATATTGTGTTTTATGCTTTCAAGAGCTTCCTGAGCTGAAAAGAAATTAGCAGAGATCTGTATGTTTTTATTTGCTTCAAATATTCGAAAAAAAAAACGTAACACTTCTCCGGCTCGTCTTTGGTGCTCTATTTTCTATAGCTGGGCTGGGGCCGCGCCATCCATTCTTCATTTTCTACGAATAAGCATTTTCATTTCAGTCACAACTAAATCATGCTTCATGGTCTTAAAGTAGTCACGTTACCTACTTTGATTTTTTTTTTTTAAAGATAGATATTGGCGAACTTCCTGCGATTACTCACTTACCGCCTTTGGAAGGGTTTGCGAATGAAGGTAGACATCGAGTGCATCTCTCTGGTGCAGCCCTCCCGTCTCCTCTCTCTCTCTCTCTCTCTCTCTCTCTCTCTCTCTCTCTCTCTCTCTCTCTCTCTCTCTCTCTCTCTCTCTCTCTCTCTCTCTCTCTCTCTCTCTCTCTCTCTCTCACTCACTCTCTCGCTCTCTCTCTCACTCTCTCTCTCTCACTCTCACTCTCTCTCTCTCTCTCTCTCTCTCTCTCTCTCTCTCTCTCTCTCTCTCTCTCTCTCTCTCTCTCTCTCTCTCTCTCTTGTAAAGGTGTATGATAGATCCGGTTTCAGATAGAGGATCAGCCTGTTATCTGAACCGGGTTAGTAGTCAGACTGGCCGTCGCTGCAGTCACTGCTGGCTCAAACAACTGGCTGGGATGGTCCAGAGATTTAAACCGGAGCATTTGTTGCCGGTCCAGACAGAAACTGAACCGAATGTCCTCGGCGAGTTGAACGTCACCTGACAGCAGTTGCTGCCGGTCTGGACTCAATGCCGACCTGCACTGAGGTCTGTTCTCCGTGTGCCTCATTCTCCCCATCCTGTCAATGAAAGCATCGTCTGGTACAAAACACTCCGAGAGACGTTCCCAGCCGTCACTTTCCTCTGCACCGCTGAAGTCGGACAAGGATAACGCTGCGGGGGCGTGTGAATCCCACCACTTAGCACCAGACATCAACTGATTCGAGGATTCGAGGCTATTTCTCTGTTAATAATGCCTTTTTCCTCGCTTCTTATGCATTTGCTTCTAAGTCCTGTTGCCGTTACCGGCTGGCTGGCGGTGTGAGAGACTGTCCGCGGCTCAGGTGTCGGGCCGGGGCCGGGGCGGCGCGGTGGCTCTCACTCAGCCAGCCGGCCAGCCCCGCTCCTCTAACGCCGAGCCATCTGGGCAGCAGCACCCTATGCCAATTAGCCGATCGTGATGCTCTCCAAGGCCACAGAGACTTAGCTCCTCTGGCCAAGATAAGCGGACCGCAGCGTCAGCTTTGCCTGCGCAGCCAAAATATCTCCTTATTAGCCAGCGTTTATCCTCCACGCCTTCAGCTCACGACGATTCGAGGCTGGTTTTCCTTTCCTGAGGCACATGCAACAGCCATGCAATATTCATTGCACTGGCATTAGAACTGTACAACAGCGTAAACATGTGCTTTTTCATGTCGGGCCGGACGGTAATAACATGTGAGAGTCACTCGTCGAGGCCTGTGCCTAATCTTTGAAACAGGATACGGAAACTGAGAAGGTTCAATGCTTCATAATCGTACTGAAAAGGCGCGTCAGCAGAATCATCTGTACCTATCCACTTTTCTTGCAAAAGTTTTGCAAAGACTTTCATGAAAATGCATAAACTTTCATCGCTCTCTCTTTTTTTCTCTCTCTCTCTCCCTCTCTCTCTCTCTCCCTCTCTCTCTCTCTCTCTCTCTCTCTCTCTCTCTCTCTCTCTCTCTCTCTCTCTCTCTCTCCGAAGCTCACTGAAAATAGGCTTTGAACACGGGCTATACATAACCACTTACATCGAGCGACCGGCTGGATGTTCAGGCATTGACGTTACCTGCAGCGGCGCGGGGGCTCAAGTCGTGACCTCGGGACCTTGAAGCGCAGCGGGGGCCCGTTGTCGCCCCTTCTATCATGCATCCTCTGGATAACTGGTCCTCTTCGCCGGACTGGCATTGAGTGCACCTTCAACCGAAGCTGGTCGTATGCAAGCTGAAACATTTGCATGCTTCGATCAAGAAATTATTGGGAGGCCAGCGTTATTTGTTGAAAAAAGTTGCACTTGAATCTGAGCCTTCAAAAACTTATATCTCTCGTAAAGGTCGCCGCGATCCCGTTATATAATAAGATTAAGTCATAATCACTATAATGACGTTTTATGGCTCGCCATATCGTACCAATCTGTTGCGACAATTGGACTCGGGAGGCCGGACTCGGATGATTCACGGGCACCCGAACTGGAGCTCGGTGACGTGAGACAACCAACGGTCCCGGCGCGGCGGTCCCATGACATTGCCCTCCCAACTCAAGGCGAGTGAAGAAACTCCCGTGATGAAACTGGCGCACCCGGCTCGCTGGGCGTCGCCCCTGTTGAGAAACCCATCAAGGGCTGTGTGAGCGCGGGCGCCGGCGGCGGCGCCGGCCGGGCAGGACGGTGGCTGCCGCCGGGCCCGCCGGCTACGGACGCGCGGCGCCTTATGAAACCCGGCGCGCCGCCATGGGACGGCCAGGACCGCTGCATGGCCGGCCTTGGCCGCGCTATTGCAGTGGCCGCCGCCGCCGGCCGCGTTGCCTCATCCGGCGGCGGTGGGCAGATGGGACGACGGGCTCCCTTCGAGAGGGCCGGCACCCACCGCGCCGAACCGCACGGGGCGAACGGACCCCGCGTGGACTAAAGGGACCCCAAACGGACCACACGGATCCCTCACGCACCGCACGGACCCCGTATGGATCCTCGGCAGAGGCCGGCGCTGACCGCTCACCCAGGCAAAACAACGAACGTCGGATACTGACCTTGACACTCGGGAGAAGAGAAAGAAGTACAAGAGTCACCTGCTCACGACATATGGTAGACAGTACTTCTTGTCGTGGTGTTCACCTTGGACTATTTGGGAAAACGTGCTTGGAATATGCAACATTTGCCTAAACAGTCTCCGTTTCCATTCAAGGCACTCGATGGAAGGCGGCACAAGGCACTCTGCTCAGCTGGCATCGTGCACTGCTATGCAATGTGCATTCATTATTTTCCTGATCATTCATATTTATTCATTACACCTTTTTCCACTCTTGGGCCTCTCCCGCTGAATATATCGGCAGGGCCAATGGCCTGGTCTTGTCCGGGGGGGGGGGGCTAGCTGTTGCACCTGCCCGGCAGACCTGCCTGGGCCCGACCGTCGCCCAGCCGTGCTGACCCGCCCTGCTCCCTGTCTGTTGCAGATCATCATGTTGCCCCGGCTTTGTCTAGCGGCAGCGCTGCTTGCCGTCGCCCTCTCCCAGCAGAGCGGCTTCCCCAGCCGGTTCGGGTGAGTGCTGAGTCGCAGACCACAGACAAACGGCTGGTTTATCTCAGACGCAGTTATAGTTAGCCTGGTCTGTACAGAAAGGATTGCATGCATTTCGGCTTGCTCGACTTTTTAGAATCTTCTCCGGGCTTATGTTATGCGAATCGAAGGCACTGAATAGTTCCGTTGTAAACTGTCGTGCCTACAGGTTACAACAACAGTTCTTTCTTCGTTTACTTGCCTCCGAACATATCAATTAAAATTAAATTATTAATTAAAAGATGCTGAATCAAGCAGGAATAAATCGGTTATTGAAAAGAACACAATGTCATGAGTATTGAGTAGCTTGTGGGGCTCCTGAGAAGTGCATTTATTAGTTATTGCACCGCCTTCCTAGAAGGATCTGTTCTAAAGGCGGCACATCACATTGTGCAGATCAGGGCTCAGCAAACAACTGCAGATGTTAGGGTGCCGGGTACGTCCTGTCTAACCGGGCGGTGTATCTACGCCCTTCCAGTCAGCGGTTCAACAGTGGACGGTTCCAGAGCAGACCAAGGGACCGGTTCGGTCGACCGATCACCACTACCACTACCACCACCACCACGACCACCACCACCCCTGCTGAGAAGACCAGCGAAGGCACACTGCTGGTGCCGCCCATCCCCGCCAAATGCGCCGTCCGTGAGTACCTCCGTTCGTTGTGCGAGCACAGCACTCAGCAGTCTACATGTAGGCTCATAATTATATTGATCAACAACCGTTTCGAACGATCATAAGTGGTGATGGAAAAAATCATAAGTACCTATCATATTTATGCTACCTTGCAATTCACTCTAGATGTGATGATCATTTCCATTTACCTTTGTCTATCATCGTTTGACATATTGCACATAATTTCCTGCCGATTGCACAGTAAATATATGATATTGATAAGCTGAAAAACGTTTCCGTGCAATATTTCCTGGCATCATTGTTTAGTTATAGATTGTCTGAGGATGTTGTTAGCTGAATTAATTATAAAAATATAGTGGTCACAATACAAGGCCTGTTTCCCTTCCGGCAATAGAAACGGTTTTTTTCATACGATTATTGTGCGACTCCAACGGGGGCTTCAGCCACACCTCAGACAGCCACGAGCTCACAAATGGTCCAGTCTCACTTATGGGGAAGCCGGGAAGGGACGGGGTTTACAATTCAATTTCACCCGCCAGGCGGCAGGCGATGGGGGCTCACAGTCGCTAATGCCCTGGCAAGGATCCCATCCTCTGATCCCCTAAGTACGGTACGGTGCCAGGCACCGGTAAACTGCAGTGTAGGGCCCGTCGGATGGAGTGAGCCCGCAGCCTTGGCAGGCTGCCCCACCGCCGCGCCGGTCTGAGGAGGAGCGTGACAATCGGCTCCGTGGACAGCCACTCCGTTTAGAGCAGAAACGATGAGGCATGACTGATGACAATTGCATCGGTAGCATGGCGTATGATGTTCTTTTCTGCGTAATCATTTACAAACTATACCACTTTATTGGTAGGTAGTCTTTGCTTCAATTTGTTAATGGGACCGTATTAGAGCCGGCGATAATCACGGAACATTAGTGTGGGGGCAGACTGCGGCGGGACAGACTGCGGCGACCCCTAGGAAGAACAACTAGGGAGAACAACATTCGACAGATGGCAGCACTAGACGAGATAATCAGGCAATACTTTAATATTAATGGGAAAGAAATCATGCCAATGTTTGCCCTCACCAAGCATGTTACCACGACAATGGAAGAATGTAGTGTAGTACCCCTCCCCGGGCCCGCCGCGGGCTGACAGCGGCGGCCGGAGCCGGTCCGACCTTTGGCCGGCCGGGTCAGGTAACCGGGACGGCCGCGCCGCGGCGCCGCGCCCGGGCCGGCCGGGAGACGGAGTCGGGTGCCCGCCGGCGAGCCGTCGGCAAGGGCGCGGGGCACATTAGTCGAGTTGAATGTTCACTGTTCAGTCTTGAGTGCGAGTGATGTATGTGTGAATCGATATGTGAGCAGCAAAATCCAACAAGAAAACAAATCCGTGAAAGAAAGGCAACGCTGGCAAACATCACCACCATAGTCTTCCTACGCCGAACGAGTTTCACACCAACGTGCATCAGCGAGAGTAAAACTAGGATCCTAACAGACCCACCCACCGCCCCACCGTCACCCATTCCTTCCCAAGTCTCCTTCCCCTCCGCTCGGGGGCGTCTTTCAGCTACGCAAGAAGGAATCGGCAGACACAGACACCTGGGCGCGCGAGGAGGGGAAGTCGAGACCGTGTTTCCGCCAAAAGAGAAAACAACCAAGGTAGGTGGTAGGTAACTACACCTGCGCCATCTATATCAGCTGCCCCGCATGACACTAATGTAAAGGTCGCCGTTTCAGTTTTTACGTCAAAAAGAATAGCTTATAAGCTATGACATTGTTTGTTTCTTATAGTAATAATCCATCAATCATCAACTCATCGATAATCAGCATGTCGAGTTATAATTACAGCCATTAAAGGCATCGATCGGGGCCAGTGGCGGCGGAGCACTTTCTGCTTTCATTTAAGGGCGGGGGAGTGTGTGGGGGGGGGGGCACTGCCGACTCTTGGTCCCATTCTTTCCATGCAACGCCCATAGGACTAATGTTAAAGTGCCAAAATCAAAGTGGGGCACGGTGTCCCGGTGCCCCCCCCCCCCGTTCCGCCGCCTATGATCGGGGCATACAAGCACGGCTAGGTGGTATATGTACACAAACCCAAACGACGTCCAGCTCGATCACACCAGTATTTTGTATACGTTTATTCGTACCATTGCCCTCAGTTCATGTTCCCTGTCAATAACTATCTCTTTCTTCTTCTCCCTCTCCTCTCCTCTCCTCTCCTCTCCTCTCCTCTCCTCCCCTCCCCTCCCCTCTCCTTTCTCCTCTCCCGTCTCCGGTGGCGAGGGCTGACTGGTCGTGGTCAGGTCATCGGCTCCACGGCCACGGTCAGTCGTCCGTTCGTCCCGATCGGCGCCACAGCCTGCGAGTAAAAGTTGTTTGCCGACCGTCTGACATTGACTCTGGCGGCGGTGAAAGTAGCACTGCGATTCGCCTGGTGGCTCCCTCCCATTGGCGGCGCATCCAATAAGGGAGAGGAGCTCTCAGAGCACTTAGTCCAGGAACCAGAGCCCACGGTTAGAGGCCAGAGCAGGCATGAGCAGAGCGGGCATAAGCAAGCATACACGCATGCAAATGTAAGCACGACAACTATCCTGTCATCAATCACAACATTGATCGATCCTATGAATCTTTTATGCCGATGGCTGCGGCGCGGACTGTGAAGGTCAACCGCCGGGCTATCTGATGTGATAAGGCCCGACCACGGGACTGTCCCTGGCCTCAGTGGCGCTGTTGCTGACCGATATACCCCCCCCCCCCCCCGTCCGTGATCTCTCACAGGGCCCAAACACTGGAAGCTGGGCAACCACTGGTACTTCTTCACGGCCGATGAGCCCGAGTTCCAGGAACTCGACGAGAAGACCCAGGAGACGGTCGGCAAGCGCTACGACTGGCTCGATGCCCGCAACGTCTGCCGCAAGTACTGCATGGACTCGGTCAGCATCGAGAGCGAGGAGGAGTGGAACATGGTCAAGAACAACGTCTCCAGCCGTAAGTTGCTGCACGATATGCTAGGCAGATGGAAACTCGTATGAAAACGGGTTTGGCCTCAGTTAAATGTATACGTTCTGTCCTTATAACTGCGGAATATAGTATACAGGATGACCGGCGATGTTTTTATGACTATGGCATTTTGGTCAATTTTTTCAATCTTATGTGACCTCTGCTTGACCTTCCTTGATCTATAGTACACCCGCTGACCTCATGATCTCCGCCGCAGGTGACATCGTCTATATCTGGTCTTCGGGCCGGCTTTGTGACTTCAAAGGCTGCGAGACGCGCGAGGACCTGAAGCCGCTGAACCTGCTCGGATGGTTCTGGTCGGGCACCAACGTCAAACTGTCAACCACCGACAAGACGCCCCCCGGTAAGACTCGATTACCTATTCAACTGATGGCATTCCTCCGCTAAGCCGCACAGCATCGACGTGGGGCGAAACTAACGTAAAACAGAGGTTATTAGCTAAGCGTCTTCTCCGCACAACTCATGCTGCCACAGCATTTGCAAGCTGGGTCGCAAAACATCGCATAATCATCTGGCCGAAGGTTAGGCGAGGATAAGATAAGGGATTCGATTCGCACAATAACATCGTTAGTTGGCTGCTTACTGGTGTAATAGGATTTGATCATGAATACTTTATATTCCACTGCATCAGCCCGACTAAAATGCAATTCATTGATGGATGATGAAAAAGAGTGATTGGCCTGTTCCATTTACCTCGAGTGTTCTGGTGTTGCCCTGACACATGGCTTCCCCGTCAGGCTGGAGGGAGCAGCCCTGGTCGCAGACCGGTCACCTGAAGAAGCCGCAGCCCGACAACGCAGAGTTCGGCATCAACCGCACCCCCGAGTCGTGTCTGGGCATCCTGAACGGCATCTACAACGACGGCGTCTCCTTCCACGACATCGCCTGCTACCACAAGAAGCCCGTCATCTGCGAGGACAGCAAGGTGCTGCTCGACTACGCACGGGCGGTCAGCGCGCGTGACAACCTCGGTCTCAACATCGAATAGCCGGACAGGTGTCGGCTGAAGTGCAAATTGTAATAGGCACTGAGGAGGGCGGGCGTGTACCGAAACTGATGTGGGGACGAGCTTCTCCGGCGCTGTTTAATACCATGCCGTGTCGATGGCCGGCGCTCGTCGGCTGGCCCGGCCGGCTATTGTTACTGGATTTTGTGAGGCGCCGTTGCAGTCAGCCGGAACAAAGGACAATGCATTCATACCTTTGAACGAACGAAACAGGAAATGTCACAACATACATCGGATGGCTTGCAATAAATGACATGTACCTTGCAATGCATGCTCCATATAATGTGACATACAAGCCGGAGTGAGTTGTTTTGAAGAAGAATATATTGGCATGGCCACCGAACAACGAAAAGATGTTTTTTTTTACAAAGTGTTATAGCCTGATGCTGAAGGCCGGAGGGAACATTCCCGAAAGTATCGAACCTGTGACCTGAATGAGACTGCGTTTGGCAATGTCACACGAATCATTGCAATAGCGGTTAACACTAAACTACGAATGAATACATCATCTTTGATCAAAGCTTATATGAAATTCGAAATAAGGGACACTAGAAGCCTTATAGGTCTAGTACGCCCCAGCGTTTGCGGATTTGGGGTCATTTACCTCATACCTGACCTGAAAGGTCAACCTTAAACCTCATCGCACCAATTGGTTTTCTACATAGGTATACCGAGAGGGGGTGGGTTCGACCCTCTCGCCCTTTCGCCGCTAATTGAGTTAGAGCCTGGCGGAAAAAAGAGCATGTGCGCCCTTACGAGACGCAGCGATTGTTATCCGAATTTAAGGTCTCAGGTCAACCGGTGACCCCTGAGGTTAGGTCAAGTGCCTTAACCCGCGCCGGGCCGGGGGTGTTTGAACACCCCCGGCGGTTTTTCGCAGATATCTAAAAACGGCGGCGCTCCACGCCACCGTTTTTGGCACACATGTCTATGCATCTTTTCCGCACATGTTGTAAAAATTTCAGACCCAGGTCGCCTTAGGTCAGGTCACCATGTCACGCCAAGTGACCTCACCTCAGAAAAAAAAAATAAGAATGCTCGTCATAGCTACACCGACTGATCGATTGCCTTGAATCTTTCAGCGATTGATTAAAGCAACATTATCTATAAAATGTATATCTCGGAATTTTGATATCGGTGACCTAAGGTCAGGTTAATTTTGCGGCCTCTCCATTATAAGTCAATGGGAGAAAATTGAAAAGCATCTGTTTTGCACGAACGCTATTCTAGACACTCTCAAACATCGAGATGTAGGTAAAATTGACACACTGAACCGGAAAATGGCAACTATGACCCCTCGTTATGTCCCCGAAGTCATCTCAGGTCACGAACAGAATTTAACAGTATTTCGCTAATAACTTCTGATAGAGGCGTGCTAGAGCGCTGAAAACGCCTTAGATGTGTTCGGCTCGACGTTGCGGATCGACTGATATGCAACATGACCTTTTCCGGTCAGGTCATGACCTTGACCTGAGGTCAAATTATAGTTCATTCGACGCGTCTCGACGAGAGGAACACGATGCTGGCAAAAGTAGTGTCATGGCTCTTTTGAGTCAAAAGTTATTGCCGAAAAAACGTTTTTCGCAAAAACGGCTGTTTTTGGAGTTTTTGCCCTCTGGAGGCTAAACCGTTGACCTGAGGTCAAATCTGAGGACATTATTCAGAAAGGCCTGTAAAAGGGCTATCGAATGCGCCTTCCGCGGCGCTGTAGCTCTATCGGTTCCCGAGATAGTCGTTGGCAGTTTCCGAAATGTTCAAATAGTCAACATTTTACCTTTGGTGACCTCTGGTGACCTGACCTTTGACCCGACCCAAAAAATGGCCAAAGTGTTTTCGTCCTTATTTTGGACGTTCTTTCGATTGCCGCTTACCGCGTGTCGCTACGTGGCCCAGGAGCCGAGTTAGAAGGGGGTGTTCAGACACTCCCCCCCCCCGGCCCGGCGCGGAATCTCAGAGCACCGGTGAAAAAGCGGTAAAAGCGAGAATTGTGAGAATTGTGCGGCACGGGTGAAAAAGCGGTAATAGCCGTTTTCACGACAGGCTAACCAGCGAGTGCACCTAATTTGACCAAATCTGCATTCTGCATCTAATCTCTTTTACAGCAAATATCGTTATTTTATTAGTTTATTTCAGTGTTTTAATCGATGATGCTCCTGTTAACCCTCGCCCGTAAACGGCGATCTGCCACCTTCGCCCATGCAGGGGGGGGGGGGGTTGGTGCGACCCCCCCCCCCTTGGCGTTTGAAAACGGAGCGTCGTAGAGCTTAGCGGAAAAGACCAACGGATTGCTCTCGCCGAGATCTCGCGAGTGGTGGTATATTTTTTGGTCCTAGGTCAACATTTGACCTACTTTTGACCGGTCAAAGGTCAAATTTTCGGAAAAATAGACTTTTTTCAACTTTCCGCGGCGATTGCGGCAAAACGGTGGGAGATATCGACTTGAAACCTTCACTATCGTGTTCCTTGATCAATTCTCTATCGTTTGGTATGTATTTCGTTTCCCTAGCTCTAAAAATGGCGCGTTGGGAGCGCCGGAAGTCGGCAAGGTCACAGTCGGCGGCAGAAATTCGAAAAATCAAAATTTAAATTTTTGAAATCTGATTGTATTTTTGGATTTGGGAGGTCCATTTGCTCCCTATAGAAGTTAATATTGCTGCATATTCCCATTGAGGTGACAAGAATTAGCAAAATAGTGGTTCGGGCGCTTTTCAAAAATAGTACCGGACGCTGTTCCTCTTGTGACGTCATAGCTCCGTGACCTGACCTGACCGGGTCAAGTTTCTTATACCATATGATAGCCAATACTTGCCCCAACATGCATGGGAAGTTTCATCACGATCCATCAACCGATGTCCGTACCACCGGCAGGAAACCTCGGGCGTTGGCACTCAGTTTGTGAAAATCCGGCCGGAGGCTGTTCCCTTTGTGACGTCATAACTCCGTGACCTGACATGACCCGGTCAATTTTTTTTATCAAAAGATGCGCAAGGTTTGCCCCATAAGGTACCCAAAATTTGGCGGCGCTGCGCGCCGCCGTTTTTGCACTATTTCCGAAAAACCTCAGGGGGGGGGGGTTGCACCAACCCCCCCCTACATGGGCGAGGGTTAATATGACACAGCAGACATATAAGCAATTAGTGCAACCCTAGCTGATAGCTTCTAAGAGACACACTGAACCTAACTTGACCAAATCTGCACCTAATCTACACCAGATGTGTACCAAATGTGTACCAGATGGCCGTCGTGAAAACGGCTATTATATCGCTTGTTATGACTTTCCCCTTTTGACTATACATACGTATAACTTCGACCATCATCAGCTGGTGGGTCAAGCTGAGTCCGTTCCGCTGTAAAACACGCCTTTGGAATGGATGACAGACTATCAGTGGCGCAAGCAGTATAAATCCTCGGAGATGTATGTAGGTATGTAGGCACTACCTATGCAGTGTGGATGCTCTCTCCGATAGAGCTACACCCTCCCTGGTTGCCTGCAGGGCCTATAGAATGCCCGCCAGCCCATAACAGGGAAGTTCGATCTAAGAATGAGAATGGGGCTGGTACTAAGGGTAAAACAGGACACACGGTAATAATACTCGTATACCTACAGCAGCATCCAAACGTTTTCTTCGGGCTGTGAACTAGCCGTTGTTGGGTGTTCGAAACAACTCCAGCTATGCATGCGTAGGCGTAAGAAGCGGTACCTAAGAATTATTTGCTTTTACATGATTTGCTGTATTCGTGGTGACGCGCCTCAGACGTCACCAGATCCTGATTCTGTTATATGACCTTACCTGAATTCCAATCCCTAACACCTGCCCCAGGCCGGTGCGCGGCATAGAGCTTTATGCGCCATCTGTCGACAGGCAGGATTGACTAAGAGTTCCTTCGAACCACACCACTAAAGGACAGGGCTGCCAAACTGGCCTCTGCTCGATAGGTGTGCCAGCTGGGCCGAAAGAGGTTTGATTTTTTGGGGGGGGGAGGTGTCTGCTCCTGACTCATTCAACCCGTAGATATGACTTATTTGACCCAAGCGCTTTCCATTGATCCGAGAAGTGTGTCATTTTTATACCTATGCAAAGGCGTGAAAAGCATCCCTAAAGTGAAACAGCTTTGTCGAGGTCCTGTGATGTGTCCCAGTCTCGTATAAACTCATATGATGTAGTGACTGATATCATCCTGTCTGGTGGGGATGCGCTTTCGCGTATGACTTTCATGTGACCCGGCTTTCATGGGTACCTTCTGTTCCGATTTCTCTGGTCTATGCTCAGTGGCACTAAATACCAATCATTCTCTGCAACACCTCACGGCTCAGATCCCTATTCCGGGCTGGACGGCCGCATTCATACTCAATTGCCTCCGAACGGAACATCTCCTGTGCGGTGGGGTTACCGTTTGCGCGGCTGGGTGGATCTTTCTAACGGGCTCAGCCCCAGCGGCGTAAAAGGATGGCCGCCCTTATCTGGCCTTTTCATCCTATTCATATTTCGTGAGTATGTAGAATGTGGTTTGTTGTGGGTGCTGTTGTATTGTGCTTAAAAAAGGGCACACACATAGAACAAAGCCATTTTGGTGAGGCTATGCTTGACTCGAAAAATAGATGTCAAATATTGACATTTTTCAGAACATATACAAGCAAACATAATGCGCAACAAGCATTCTTCGCGCCAATCTACAGGCACATTCCAGGCGACAAAGTTCGTAAAAGTGGTGTCTACGCCAGGTAAGCTCTTATCCGACATCATAATAGTCAGATTGAGGGTAAGCCAGTAAAGGTAATGCTTATCAATAACGATATAAATGCGTTTCATTAGCAGCATCCGGGTCACGCCGAGTTATATTCACGCATTATCTCCTACGTTTGGATACAGAAGGGCTTGTTCTCTCCAGGTGTACAGGCATCGCGAACCATGACCTCAAAGCCGGCGATCTGATCTCCTGTCTGCACGGGCGTTGCGTCCGGCCGCTCCGGCAGCTTGTAGACCAGCCACCTGTTGGGGTTGCGGCACAGCTTGCCCTTGAAGACGCCGCCGTCCTCCATGTCTCGGTCCTTCATACCCAGGAACCAGTCGCCATAGCGGACGTTCTCCAGCGTGAGGTGGCCGCCGTGGCGCGGCAGGCCGCCCACTCGCCACAGCTGCTTGCTGCTGTCGTCGCGCCGGTCATAGTAAATGTTGGATGTGTACGAGCTGTAGAGCATCTCGTAGCCGGGGTCAGTGGTGTGCGCGGTGCGGAGCCGCACGCGCGCGCCGACGCCCACGGTGCCGCCGGCGGCAGCTCCATCCAGCAGCACCTGATGACGGCCGGCGCCGCCGGGACTCTCCATGAAGCGCACGTGCGGCCAGCCGCGGCGCCGGTGCGGGTACGAGAGCGCCGCACACGTCTCCTGGTCGATGAGCAGCACGGTGTCGCCGCTGGATAGCTCGGTCGAGTGCGCCGCATAGCGCAGCTGCCAGGCCACCCTCGGTGACGGCACACGCAGCACCAGCTCGTGCTGCGAGCTGAGGAAGCGGCGCGGCTGGGTGTCGTTGAGGCGCAGCAGCCAGCGCAGGCCGTCATACACGTCCACGTACTGTCCTGCGGACAGCCGCGGCACGTGCAGCACGCCGTCGACGAAGGTGAGCTGTGCGGCCGACAGGCGCATCTCGCACGGCTGGTTGGCAGCCGCCGAGCCCGTGACCACGTCTGCGGCCGTGACCATGCCGTTGGCGCCCAGCTGGCGCGGCGGGCCGCACGAGACCGCGGCCCGGCCAGCTGCAGAACTGGGAACCGGGAACGGCGGGCGCAGCGTGCTCAGATCCGGGATCGGGTCGTCGGCCTCGTAACTCATAGAGAGCATGCAGTACGGAGTCGCCAGAGCGCGACGGGCGTGACGGGCGCCCTGTTCGTGGCTGTGTACATATTTATCGAGAGGATCAACGCACTGGACGAAGTACCTGCCGGTGGCGAGCAGGCCGTAGATGCGGCTGGTGAGTCGGTCGATGTGTTCATCGCGATCTCTGGCGTGCAGCAGCATCGGGTCGAGTTCCTGCCGCAGCTGGATGGTGAGCAGTGTGCCGGGCCGGGAGTCAGGGGCCTCGGTGAGGTCACCGTCCACCAGCACGGCCGGGTCGTCACCGGCCTCCTCGGTCAGTCGCTCTCTGATCAGTGTCTCGTCAGCCGGGTCTGCCGCGGAGGCCGGCGTCCAGCACCCGTCCTCAAACAGCTCCACGGGCCCGCCGCGCTCGGAGTAGTACCAGCGGCGCAGTTCGAGCTCCATGTGGCGCAGCTCGTGGCCGCCCACACTGACGCGCACCCGGCCGTCGCCGGCGTTCAGGCCCCAGTGCATGTAGGGCAGCGCCAGAGGACGGTTAGCCGGGCCGTACCGGCAGCAGGCGGCGCTCCACATCCGAGACGGGATGTTCACCCTGCCAGGGTGGAGGTCGGTGAAACACTCGCCATACGGGGAGGTCAGAAGGGAATGACGTGACAAGCAAACCCGACGTATAGTGGTCAACGTATCACCAGCAGTGCAAGCCCCAATTACAACTCTCTTTCATCCCTGCTTGTACGTTGCACGGAAAAGCACTCACCCTGGTCCATGGCTGAGCTCAGCGTTTCGTACCTGTGATATTTACTGTGCGGGTCCTCCGGGCGCCAGACGCTGCAGCCGCCGTCGTTGTCTCCGCAGGAGATGGTCCTGGTGGTGCGCATGTCACCTGCCTGGGCGGGGTAGTTGGGCACGGCCCCGGTGAGCGCGTGCAGCTGTCCTCCGCGAGCGTAGCAGAACGAGACAAAGACCTCGTCGAACAGCTGCTCGGCGCGCTTCCAGGCGCCCTGGTTGAAGCAGGGCTCCTGCGGCACGGCGTTGGTCAGCGTGAAGGTGGCCAGCCGCGCCTCCTGGCCGTCCTGCAGGAAGTTGGGGTTCAGGTGGCCGCGGTTGAAGCCCGACTCGGCGTAGTCGTCATCGACAGCCTGCAGCAGCGGCAGCTGGTCGCGTAGAGACGGCGGCACCCTTCCCCGCGAGCCCGGCCACTGGTCCATGCCCTGCCGAGGGACGGGTCACGCGTCACTGTCACTGGACCCACGGAGGTGACCGGTGGCCGGTAATTCTTAACTGTCAACATCTTGATACGTTATGCGATGAACATGTGCACAGTGCACGATAATGATGACAGTGCACGATAACACACATCGCTGCAGCTGTACATCTTATTGCAAATGTCTTCAGCGGTGATTATTGAGGTATAGAACAATGATACTTTCAAAAACCACAGAGAAAAATTGAAGCACCATTTATGCGGCACGTTCTATGGCTGGCGGGGCGCAGCGCTCTTACCTGGGTGCCATTTCCTGAGGGGGCCAGCGAGTGTTCGACGTACCAGCGGCCGGTGCGGCGGCGGCCCGAGCGCGCGCCGTCGGCCGGTACCGGCGCTGGGATGTACGCCGAGTACACGGGGATGCGGTAGCGCGTATCGAACAGGGTGTAGTAGTAGTCGACTCCCCGGTACCGCTGGCAGATGCCCACCCGGCGGCCATCGGCCACGAACGGGGCGCCGCGCGGCTGCCGGCCGCCGGAGAAGTACTTCTGCTCGCAGGACTGGTGCTCAGAATCGGCGGCGCATGGTGCCAGCAGCAGCAGTGACAGCAGCAGTGGCAGAAGCGGTGCGGACAGCGGCAGACAGCGCGGCCCGACCATGGTGGTGCTCAGCGGAGCCACGCGGTAAAACTGCGGCGGCGCAGCGGCCGTCGACCTTCGCACCCTGTTAGCCAATTGACGGAGGGGAGCCGCAGAGCCGCTGACGATGACCACATCGGTCACCGACGGGGCCAGGCACGGGCGCTTTATGTAGTGTAGGTACAGTAGGACAGTGGGCATGATCTTGTTTAGTTGCACGAGCCACGAATTACGACAGTTGGCATACTGCCAATGCTTTCATTGAAACAATCACAAGGTTGTTCAGTTTGTTGTAAAAGGCGAATATATCAGGAAGCAATGTGGTCAGTGTTCACCATACATCGATTCGATTTATTATTGATGAAATACTAGGACTTACTCCACAAGGAGATCGAATGGGTCGGAGCGCTTTCAATATGTATTATACATATCGTCGTCAGCGAATCAATAACGGGTCGAATCGAGTCGGGTATCGAAGATACCCGACCCGAAGAGTCGGGTACTCTTCGATACCCGACTCGATTCGACCCGTTATTGATTCGCTGACGACGATATGTATAATACATATTGAAAGCGCTCCGACCCATTCGATCTCCTTGTGGAGTAAGTCCTAGTATTTCATCAATTTAATTCCATCTCCACATCATGTCATTACGTCGATTTATTATAATACCTATCCTATTCACGTAAATATTTTGGTATGTATAAATTTATGCATTTATTCACATATTTAACCCGCGCATAACCCATCACATATTTAACCTTTCTGACCTAAAAGTGACCTGACCTCCAGTAAATTCAGCTGAAAATTACCTCAAATGACACATACGACAGTGTTTTCGAAATCTACGAGTAAAATGGGCCATAAAACAGGCGTCACGTGACCGATAGATGATATGCGATTTTCGTGACTTAGGATAACCTGGCCTTGCCCTGAAAAATTCGGAGTAAAAGTTTGGTACCCTCATCTATATTACTATTTGAGGAGGGCGTAGTTTCTGTCTATTACGAAGGTCGCGACATGGTGCTACGTAGCGCGGGTTACAGATCACACCGTTGCACCTACCGCGCTGAAATTTGCGCAAGTTATAGAACAAGGATGGACAACGTGCCTTTGAGCGGTCTCGGCTCGATCGGATCGATAGCGAGCGCGTGGCGCGTGCCCAAAAAGTGCAAATTCGCGTCATAGACTTTACATGTATAAATCGGCTGGCAAAAACGGGCGAAAATGGCTAAATTTGCCCGACACGGGTCCGTTCCCCGTGCAATATCTCGGTAGCCGTGCGCCCGATCGGCACGGGGAAAACAGCATCGTGTAGAGAATCGAACGGGCAATCGAATAGTGTGCGGTGCAGGGGTGGCACGCGCCACGTGCAAGTGTGAGGGCAATTTCATTTCAAAAAGTGCCATTTTAAACGGATTTTGGAATTTATATTAATTTCAGGTGATCGTCAGACGGAATGAGTTGAAACAGCGCCTATTAGCAATAAAAATGTACCGTCTCTCATGGAAAAATTGTGAAAAGCTAATTGATCAAAAACAATGTGGAAAAAATCGCTGAATTAAAATGGTATTTGTCCATAATGTGCCACTAAAAAGATACACGGGATTTGCTGCTTAACCTGATACGTTTGACAATTGAAATTGCTATCATTGGAAAGAGCATTCAATTCTCTCCAAGATCCATTCATCACGTTTGCATGACAAGCAACAGTATTCTTAAAAATATAAATGTTTTAAACCTCTGCAAAACGATTTTTAGCGAAAATTATCTACGCCTTTCATTTGTCTTAAAACTACGCACCTCAATTATAAAGCACATTTGACAGATTCTGAAGTGGAAAGCATGCTTATCAGACACGGGCACCTCGATGCGGTGGATATTTTTTCCACAAACCAAAACGTTTAGCCGTCAAAAAGCAATCGACCGAAATGGATAGATAACCCAACCGACACAAGAACAACCGAACACCCGCCGATCGAAAATATCCCTTTTCGCGTTGCGGAGCACGCGGGCCACCCTAGTGGTATCTAAGGCATACCTATATCAAAGAGTGCGTAAGCCAAAAACATAGGCGGCGGAGCGGGGAGGGCACCGGGGCACCGTGCCCCCCTTTGATTTTGGTATTTTAACATTAGCCCTATGGGCGTTGCATGGAATGAATGGGAACAAAAGTCGGCAGTGTCCCCCCTCCCATTACTTGAAGGTGTTCCGCTGCTACTGGCCAAAAATAAGCCTGACCGGACTTGTCAGCTGGCGGTCAGAGCCTAAAGTATGAACAAGCAAAAATGCTGATAATTTTTACTTTGACCTGACCTGTGACGTCATCGGTAAGGTCGACGTCAATAAAATAGGTTTCGTTCGACAGTTTTCCAGAGTTATCAGAAGCCGTTTGAATTTTGACGATCGGCCCAGTAGTTTCGGAGATAGGGGGGGGGGGGGGCTCTGGAGTGCCACCCCTCAGTCACTCACGTTATGGAAAATACCCCAGTCATGCGCGAGTTAGTTATTCGAGAAAAACTCTCTCCATATCTAGCGCCGCCATTTTGACTTCTTTGACCCCTGTGACGTCATCTCTGACCTGACCTGAAAATGACCTTTGTAAAAATTGTAGACCTAATCCGTGCGTATCCGATGCCGTTTACCGCTTGTCGCTACCTTGCTTCGTTCTCGAGATCTCGGGGGGGGGGGGGCGGCGGTCATCCGCCCCCCCCCCCGTCGGTACTAAGTTGGCGCAGACCCCCGTCGCTGCGCGTGTTAATGTGTTGTGACCTTTTAGTATATATAGAAGTCTATGACATGCGTTTTGGTGGACACGCCTGTCATCTGAGTTTTATCCATATTCATTGTACCTATGTATAATGTTTTTATCAAGTGTCAATAAACTAAACTAACTAACTAACTATGGCCAACCTAAATGTCCCCATTTAGGTTGGTTTTCCCGCTATTCGCGAAAAACCTCAGGGGGGGGGGGCGGATATATCCGCACCCCCGTCGGTGCGCGTGGTAAAGTTCTCGAGTTATCGGCAGGGGGCGTTACGCTCCCCCCCCCCCCCCCAAGCAAATGGCGGATGGCGGAATGCCGCAGCAACTGCCGGGTTTTAACCCTCGCCGGCACAGGGGGGGGGGGGGTGATGCAACCCCCCCTAAGGTTTTTCGCGAATAGCTCGCGTAAATAGCGGCCGATCGCGACGAAACTTTCAGTACCCTCGCATTGATCAATTTTACACCTACCCTGAAAATTTCATGACCCTGACACAAATGACCTTTGACCTGTGACCTCTTTTCCGAGACCATGTTTGGCCGGAATCGCGATTCCGCGTATGTCGGCTCGCATTAGCCTCGCGTTTGCAAACTTTTCGTGGTTTCAAACGTTCCAACATGTGATTTGATGTTGCTCCCATACATTAGGGTGGGTGTCAAGGTCACCTGAAGGTCAGGTCAGGTCATTGACCTTTGGTGACCTCGGGTGACCTCGGTTCACTTTTTCTAGTTTTACATGTTTCTAGGCTAGTTTTTGGAGCTGGATTCGAATTTAGCAACCATTTGAACGTTTATGAAGTAGTTTTGGTGCCTTCGTAACATGTTACGAAGCTGTCAGAGGCGGTTGACACGTATTACGAATACCCGTCACAACCCCTACCTACCGGTTGACCTGACCTGACCTGACCCGACCTGGTCTAAATGCTTAAAGACATCATCTCCGATCAAAACTAACAGGATATTCGTGATCAGAACCCCGGAAAACCACATAGCAGCCACACTTTACGACTTTCTAACAGGTCCCGATTTTCCCGGTTTTCGGGCCATTGACCTGACCTGGGAGGTCACCCGATGACCTAGGACCTTAAAATTGGGTATCATCGGCTTCCTCTCGTGACGGGCAACACGCTCGTTTTTTCCGCGAAGCTCTAGCTCGATCAGGGGCCAAACGCGAGGGGGGTCGTACCACCCCCCCCCTTGTACCGTCGAAGGACGCAAAATGACCTGTGCCGGCGAGGGTTAAATACCGACGGCGAAGCCCGAACCCAGGCTGGTGACGTCACTGGCCCGCCAGCACAGTATATCAACAAATCGACAGGTGTCGCTACCTCCTATGTATGGCCTTGGCACGGCCTTGGCTTTGATAGCGCCCTTTAGCCTGATTGCGTGACTGACGCCTCTCAATTAGATTGCACACTATCGAGCGGTATCTAGTGTTTAAGTTTCGCTGTGCGCTGCTAGGCAACCGTGTGTGGTGCGCAAGGCCAGTCACAATCGTTGAGCTGGTGCACAGTGTGGCTACGTACGGCGTCGAGCTCGACGGGTGGTCTGCACCCCATATCCGACGTCATGGTGGTGCAGGTGGTGACGCCAGAGACAGGCGTGACGGAGGGTCATGAGGCATCAGTGTCGGGCAGTGGAACAGCGGCAGCCAGTGGCACAGAGGCTCGTAGCGGCGCAGTATCAGCGCCCCATTTGTCTATGCCTGAGGCTGGCGACAAAGAGACTGTGTTTTGCAAAAATGACGCACCATCACAGATGCCAGGAGGAACATTGTCATTGGCGTCAGAGGCAGCGGCACTGCCCGAGGCAAATGTGTCCTCGGTGAATTCGAAAATACAAATTTCTTCAGAATCTGAGGTACCGTGTCGAGGGGCGGAGCGGTCATCTCAAGAGCTGGACGTGCATTCTCCAAGGTCAGAAATTTCACCTTTGAAGCCAGAGGCCCCAGCTGCTAAGCCTGAAGTACCGTCTTCAGAGCCAGAAGTCTTGACTTCAGATCCAAAGGTGCCGTCCTCGGAGCCACTAACGTCGCCGTATGAGTCTAGCACAGAGAACTCCGATTCAGATGAGTCATCGTCAGACACAGATTTATCGGCATCAGATACCGACGACGAAACATCCCTATCTGCGTCTGACGCGTCATCACAGACGTCAGAGAAAACCTCATCAGAGACGTCAGAGGAAACATCATCAGAGACGTCAGAACAAGCATCATCAGAAACGTCAGAACGGACGTCACGGACAGAGGTGTCACCCGAGTCTTCATGCGCAGATTTGGCTAGCATTATCTTGGCCTCTGCAAGTTCGATGCTTGACGAAACAGTGTCTAGGTTGGAAGGGCTACATATCAACACCATACGAGTACTCGAGCTAGGGGATGTTGGAGACGACTGTGGTCAAGGTGAGCGTTAGTGAAAATAAGACAACCCATTTTCGGGGATCTGGCTCTATAGGCAGGGAAGAACAGACGAGCCAAACGTCCGTCAATGTCGTTCCCATATGTGGCTCCTAAGTGTTAAAATACGTTCAAATATTTCAAGAACTATAAAACACATACTTCATATTTGATTTAAGCTCAGCTTCGGTTCAACAAAGTAAGCATCTATTGTTCACTGCCACTATTGTCCATTGTTGTTCCCGCTACTGATTACCACACATAGCCCACACACATAAACAACTGACGCAGTCTCTAACATCCCACAGGTAAAAATGCCAAGTCTGTAAATGCCAAGTCTGTAAACCAAGAGACCGCAGCATTTCCCCCGCTCTTACAGCAGTCGTGCAACCCCACGACTGAACCAAACGTCCTACGTCGCCCTGAGGATCTGTCAACCAGCCGGCACGACATGGGACTGCCGCTTCCAAGACAAACGCCCAGCGTCAGCGGTAGAAACGTCGGTGAGCACTTGTGCAGCATATGTCGCGAGCCAGGGCACGAAGAACGCAGCTGTCTTCTGGCTAGCTCAAATAAGCCCCCAGAGGAAGCATTGGTTAGAGAACGTATTTGTAGTGTCTGTCGTAGATCAGGGCATGGCGAACACAATTGCCTTCTTGCTGAACCAAGTGAAGTCCCTGGGGATATATTGGTTAAAGAGCCGTTTTGTAGTGTCTGTCGTAGGCCAGGACACGATAAGCGTACCTGTCTTCTGGGTGCACCAAGTGAAACCCCTGGAGAGGACTCAGTTAAAGAGCATCGTTGTAGTGTCTGTCGTAAGCCAGGACACGACAGGCGCAGTTGTCCTGTGGCTGGGCCTCGGGATACTACTGCCGGTGGGCGAGATGGAGTTATAGAGGATGGTTCAGGTGTGCCACAATGTGGAGTCTGTGGCAAGACAGGACATGATCAGAAAACTTGTCCTGCAGGTGCCGTTAGGGGCTCTGTGAATGAATCAAGTGTGCAGCACTGTGAACTATGTGGCAGGACGGGACATGGCAAGAGGACTTGTCCTTCCAGTAGTGGAGGAGGTGCCAGTGGTTTTGAAAGTTTGCTTGGCTACAGAACAGGTAATAGTTTCAGTGGTAGTGTTCAATGCTGTGGCATCTGTAGACAACCAGGTCACAACAGAAGGACCTGCCCTCTGGGCGATGGTGGCTTAGGAAGTTCGTTTGGAGACAGTGGAAGTAATAGTTCGGGTGCCTCGAGTGGCAGGGTCCAATGTTGTGGCATCTGTAGACAGCCAGGCCACAACAGAAGAACGTGTCCTATGGGTGATGGTGGCTTGGGAAGTTTGTTTAGTGTAGGCGGTAATAGCAGTTCGAGTGGCAGGGTCCAGTGTTGTGGTATCTGTAGACAGCCAGGCCACAACAGAAGAACGTGTCCTATGGGTGATGGTGGCTTGGGAAGTTTGTTTGGTGTAGGCGGTAGTAGCAGTTCGAGCGGCAGGGTCTATCGCTGTGGCATCTGTAGGCAGCCAGGTCACAACAGGAGAACCTGCTCTTTTCGTTGAATCACGGATTACGGGACTCGGGAGTCGTCCTGTTATTTCTTTGGTCAGTATCCTTACAACTTTTCTAGTTTTCGCTGTAAGTACAGTTGCAGTTACCAGGTCAGTGGCGTCTCATTGTGAATCCTGCGCGCATCCTGCCCGACCTGTTAGACAAACGGTCGGCGCTTATACAATGGTTTGTCTTCCCGCCTCCCGAGATTATACGTTTACATATCAGTTACACCAAATGTGGCAAAACTTGGGCCGGAATGCTATCGTTCGGTCCGTCATTATCACTGAACACAGCTCTTTTCCATTTCGTACTAAAACTCACGTGCTCAGACGGACCCAATCTCCATTGCACGTGCAGAAAAGCCAGAGTGTTCTGAAAGGAGTCATCAGTCACCAGTGTGAATCCGACTGATTGTCACGTCAATTGTCACCTATGTATGTATGCATGTATGTAATCTATTCTTTATGATTAATACCTTTGGGGAATGCCGTTAAATTTGCTGTTAGCGATGCGAACAGAGCGCAGGGCACCGTCGGGCGTCGGTCATTTCAAATTGGCAGGCACAGCAGATCAAACCGCGAGTGCAATAGAAATGCTGTTCGTTCTGACTTCGTTCTGTGGAAATGTATTTCACCTTTTGCCTTTGCAATCGCGGTATGGGTGTGGAGTCGTGGAGGTGTAGGTATGTGAATTGTGTAGTGTGTGCACACAGGATAAGTTTCTGATATTGCCGTGTGCTGGTGCTTGCATGCATGTCTTGCAATATGATTGATAAACTGGCTGATGATGATGATGATGATGATGATGATGATGATGATGATGATGATGATGATCACGATGTTTTTTAGTACAATGTGCTATTTGCACTATCCAATCAGCCGATGGCGCCCGACGTTTGCCTGCTTTCAGATGAATGCTATGCGTCTGTACGGCGGAACAACATCATGTGCATCCTGCTATGTTCATCGTCACATTATTGACAGTCCCTGCTGTTGTGTGGAAATGTTTCCACTAGCTGTTCAACCCGGTTGACTTTAGATAGGATGTTTTTATGCGCCGAATGTTTGTGTTAACCCGCGCCGTGCTGGTGGCCTGAACTTTCCGCCGAGTGCTGGGGGGGGGGGCGTTTTCACGCCCCCCCGTCTAACTCGGCTCCTGCAGGCCACGTAGCGACACGCGGTAAGCGGCAATCGAAAGAGCGTCAAAAATAAGGACGAAAACACTTCGGTCATTTTTTGGGTCAGGTCAAAGGTCAGGTCACCAGAGGTCACCAAAGGTAAAATGTTGACTATTTCAACATTTTGGAAACTGCCAACGGCTATCTCGGGAACCGATAGAGCTACAGCGCCGCGGAAAAGCGCATTCGATAGCCCTTTTACAGACCTTTCTGAGTAATGTTCTCAGATTTGACCTCAGGTCAACGGTTTAGCCTCCAGAGGGCAAAAACTCCAAAAATAGCCGTTTTTACGAAAAACGTTTTTTCGTCAATAACTTTTGACTCATAAGCGCCATGACATTACTTTTGCCAGCATCGTGTTCCTCTCGTCGAGACGCGTCGAATGAACTATTTGTTGACCTTGAAAGGTCATTTTGAAAATTTGACCTCAGGTCAAGGTCATGACCTGACCGAAAAGGGTCATGTTGCATATCAGTCGATCCGTATCGTCGAGCTGAACACATCTGACGTGTTTTCACCGCTCTAGCACGTCTCTATCAAAAGTTATAGCCAAAAAACTGCTGGCGACCGTTCATGACCTGAGATGACCTCAGGGGCACACAGAGGGGTCACAGGTGCATTTTTCCTATTCAGTGTGTCATGTTTACCTATGAACCGATGTTTGAGAGCGTTTTGAACGATATTCGTCCAAAAGAGGCGCATTTCAATTTTCTCCCATTGACTTATAATGGAGAGGTCGCAAAATTGACCTGACCTTAGGTCACAGATATCAAAAATCCGAGATAAACATTTTATACATACTGTTACTCATATCAATCGCTGAAAGTTTCAAAGTGCTCGTTCAGTCGGTGTAGCTATAGCGAGCCTTTGAACTTTTTCTGAGGTAAGGTCACTTGACGTGACCTGGTGACCTGACCTTGAACGGCCTAGGTCTGAAATTTTCACAACATGTGCGGAAATGATGTAGGAACACGTGTACCAAAAACGGCGGCGCTGCGCGCCGCCGTTTTTGAGATATTCGCAAAAAACCTGAGGGGGGGGGGGCGTAAAAACGCCCCCCCCAGCACGGCGCGGGTTAATATTTAGTAATGAAGAGCACTCATTTATATGACTCTATCGACTACCGGAACTGTCGATGCGTCCATAGAGCGGAAGCATCAATGAATTGTGTTTAGAGCGGGCACCGCAGTCCGGCATTCAACGATTAAAAAAAACATTGTTTGTCATATGTTTACGATAAGCAGAGTGACGTTATGAAACTGTTGTTAAATGCTTTCAGGCTTAGGCTAATGGGCATACGCTATGCGCTAATTTGTTCGTCTAAGAATGAAATAAGAAATGCTGGCTTGTTTGTTTGTTGTTTGTTTGTTGTAAGTATCGACGGGAAAGATCCTAGATATTGGGAAAGTAAAAAAGATAAGTAAACAATTCAAGGAATTGTAAAAAAGCATTGTAATGCACCAGAAGTGTATTGAAGAAGTGAAGTGTAATGCAATGCACATACCTATATTGAAATGCATCGCAATGAATGAAAAATACGGGACAACCATGTTAACCCGCGCCCTGATGGGGTTTGCCGAGCAACGCGGTCTGATGGGGGGGGGGGGCATTTTGGCCCCCCCCCCCCCTAAGATCTCGAGAACCACGCAACATAGCTCAAGCGGTAAACGGCGTTGGATAGCCCCAACGCGGAACTACCTTGTGACCCAATTTCATTGACCTCGGTCAAACTGATGATGTCACAGGTCAGGTCAAAGGTCGAATTTTCACCGTTGACAGGCATTTCAAGAAATGCGTTGTAAAATCGAGTAAAATGCATTTCATTGAAAATCATCGATGGGGAAATGTTCTTCAAACACATATTTTGCTATTTGAGGTCACTGATACCAGGTCCGGTCACAAAGGTCAGGTCACTGGGGGGTCACAATATGAAAGTGTCGTGTGATACATGTTTCATGGTCCATTTTACATGACAAATGCGACTATGTGGGTCAGGCAGACTTTTGGGCCAGCTAAGGTCACGTTTTGGACAAGGTCAGGTCAAGGTCAGGTCAAGGTCAGGTCAAGGTCAGGTCAAATTATGTCAAATTTCAAAGTTGATATTTTTGCATAAAATGGGTATCGATTCGATGTAGCTCGTCACGGGGAGTTCAATGGTGGTCTCCGTTTTGCGCTACGAGGTCTAGAATTGCTAAAAATTGAGTTCAAAAATTTGACGTCATCAATTTTAAGTTTTTTCGCTATAACTTGGCCAAAAAAAAGAGATATCGATCTAAAATTTGGTATGTATATCGAAGAGCGCAGGAACTATCACATATATTCCGTTTTTTTATTCGATTTTTTTTGTTTTTCAAAAAAAACATTTTTTTTTTATTTTTCGGGGGTCAAAATCCCAAAATATGAAAATTCGAGATAGCAGTTTTGTAGCGCCGTTTTTTCTATACACAACCACAAAAAGAACTTTAAAATTGCTTGTTAACTGTAGAATTGGTGAGCGTTTCAAGATGTCATGTTCTTTGCTCATTTTTACTCGAAGATGACCTCAGTTTGACCTCAATAACTCATGACGTGAGGTGACCTGTGACTTGAAATTTTGTGTGAATGTGTCAAATTGATCCCCGCTAAGATACCCAAAATTTAGCGGCGCTGCGCGCCGCCGTTTTCTCGCTAGTTAAGAAAAACCACAGGGGGGAAAATGGCCCCCCCCACCCGCGCCCTGATGGGGGGGCATCGTTAACGGTATCGTTCGTTAACGTTAACATAATCGTTCGTTATCGATCGTTAACGGTAAACAACATCTTAAAATGCAATTCAGCTGCGACGCAAAAGAAAGTTTTAGGCTGATACGAAAGCTAGAGAACATGTTAGGAAACAGGTCAGCACCGGCTTCAAAACACATTTTCAGAACACCAGTTAACTGCTTACGAGTTACGTGCAACATCATATGCCTGCAGCCCTTCCTTTGATTACGATTATGCCGGCGCACGGAACAAAGAAGACTGCCGTCCAAGTGCAATAGGTTTAACCCTCGCCCTGGCAGGGCATTTTTCATAACACGGCCTGGCAGGGGGGGGGGTCGATGCGACCCCCCCCCCCTCGCGATTGGCTCCTATGGCACCTAGAAACACCAAATTTGGTAGGTAGGTGGGCCCCCTAGAGTTCTCGCCCCTGTGCAAATTTGGTTGCTCTAGGTCAATATTTAGGGGGGTTTTGGGGGGTATAAATGTAAAAATTTCGCTAAAAACAGGTCAAAAGTTTTTCGCTTATAACTTTTGATCTAATAAAGATAGAGCAAAAAGAAAAGCACCAGTGAACTCAGCACGTCAAGGCGCGTCGAATGATATACTTTTTAGCTTGCTTAAGTGTACTTAAAATTTTTCTTAAATTTTAAGTAAACTTAAATTAATAAATTAAGTTCAAGTTAACCAAATTGCATCATATCGCATATCATTCGATTCCGCTGATCACCAGGAACACAATGATACCATTTTTTAAGCTCTAGCGTCATTATGTGCCAAGTTATTGGCAAAAACGTCATTTGACCTCAGTTGACCTCATTTGACCTGACCCATGCATAAGTACACCAAACAAAGAAGCACCAAGTGACCTGCTGTTAAGTACCGTGGTTTCAAAGCACAAAAGTGATAGAACGAAGCGGATATCTCCAGTATTTTCCGAATTTGGTATTTTCCCATAGGCTTAACATTACGACGTAATGACCTCTATCTAACTGACCTCAGGTCAGTGACCTCAAAAAAGCCGGACTATATGTTATACAACTCGGTGAACTTAGCACATCCTGAAAGTTTGAAGGAAGTCAGTCAAAAAATGTGAGTTGGACAGGTGCAAAAAGAAAATTGAAATTTGACCATGACCTTGTACCGGTTTTTCTGACCTGGTGACCTGACCCAAGGTCATCCGGACCTGAAATTTTCAGGTCATATGTAAAAAGGTTGCCCCATAGGCTGTGCCAAATTTGGCGGCGCCGTTTTTACGCTATCTTCAAAAAACCTTAGGGGGGGGGGTCGCATCGACCCCCCCCCCCCCCCCTGCCAGGGCGAGGGTTAATTTTAACCGCAGATAAACCGACATAATCTTTTTGGATAAGGATGCATACTGCATTGCGTCGATGAACAGAGGTCCACCTAGCCAACGGCTGGTGTCACAGCCGCGGTGCATTTATCCAGTCATGTACATACATCACATCGGTACGAGTCAGGATACGACCGAGAGGCAAAAGCTGAACGTGAGCAATATTGTCCACGACAATGAAAAGAAACTCAAAGAAATTGACCTAGGCTGCAGCTGTCCCTGATAGCCACAGAGATCCACTAACACATTGTGACTTAACCTCTACTGACGCTCTGTGACCTCAACTCTACTGACACAGTGTGACCTGAGCTCTATTTTAACGGCCCGCGCCAGTAACCGCGCCTTCAGAGTCCGGTGGCAGTGGCCTGTAGACTGGGCGGGTGGTCGTTACAGCCGTCGCGCTCACAGCAGAGGTTACAGGTGGTGCGCGTGACGCCGAACCCAGTGGACTTGCAGTAGGCCGCGCACGAGTCCGTACAGCCGCGCGAGAGCAGCAGCAGAATGCCGCTCTGAACGAACCACGTCTCCTGCGGCACAGCACAGTCGGGGTGCAAACGCGAGAAATCGTAAATACCTACAACACGGTGTGCTATTCGATCATGTCTAGCTAATATTTGGAAATTTTATTTATAGCCAGATTGCAAAACACTCAAAAAGGCTGTGTTGTCAATAGCCCCGTTTACATAGAGCTAGTTGCCAGATAGTGGAATTCCGATATCGAGACATTTATCCCACTAACGAGACATTTCAGGTACATTCCGCTAGTTCTGACGACTTATCCGGCCTTAAGTCGTTAGAAGGAGCGGAATGTGCCTGAAATGTCTCGTTAGTGGAATAAATGTCTCGGTATCGGAATTCCACTATCTGGCAACAAGCCCTATGTAAACGGGGCTAGTGTCACAGAACGTAGCCAGGAACGCAGACTGTTAAGGGTTACGCTAATCGGCGAAATAAATACGCACTTACTTCATAAGATCTAGGGTAAGGTGCTTACCTAATTAGCGACCCCTTAATTTGAACCGTCACTGCTCACGCTCTATGGGTGCTACTGTAGGTATTACTGGCTTGATTTTCGGATAGATCGTTTTTTTTATTAAAATATATTCATTTTCTCTCCCAATATCCACGAATTTATTTGTAATGAGCATTTTATCAAACCATTGCAAAAATCGCTAATAGGGAACTCGTCCCGATTAGCGACCGGGTAGGGTCGCTAATAGGTCTATGGGCTTTCCCATAATAAAAATGGTAAAAAATGCGAAGCCCGAAAAGTTGAAATATGATCCCAAAAAGGCAACCTATACCCAAAGCACTCAATCACTGGAACAGAAGCGTTTATCATACAGCTTTATGAAGATGATAACTGATCACGTGATGCACCAAAGGCGAACAGAAGGCCAAAACCCAAATTTTGCGGGCTATCTCGCATGATATTCGAGGCCCGCCCTGGATTCGGCACCCCTGCAGTCGCTGACGACAGTTGGCATCACCTGCCACACATCGCAAACTTCTGCAACACCTCATTTTCATTTCTCTCTTTTCCCCTTTCTTTCCCTTATCAAGCTATTTGCGACCAGTCGGGCGCAAATATAGGAAATGTGGGTTGCGATACATTTTTGACCATCATGCAGTGCACAGTTACGCGATTCACTGCGGTAAAACGGCAATCAATTGAAAAAGGATTGTCGATTCAGAATAAAAAAGGTGCATCATCTTATTGTGCATCGCTTTCCAGCAGATAGGTTCCAAATACATACGTTTTGGATAAGAAACTGGTCATTTTTGTTTAAACTCTCCTAGAACGTCCCACCAGAAGCATCGACAGCCGGAGAAGAATTTAGTTTGAAAACCAAAGTATGGCGGACCTTTTGGCATTGTTTTCATCCCGATTTCTCTTGCCAGGTTTTCTGTAGAGAGGTAGGTCGCAAATAGGAAAGGGTCGCTAATTAGGCACCTTACCCTACATGGTTGAAAGGGTAGCATGAATGCTTAGACATCCGGATGGAAGCCAGCCACCTCAAGCCTTACTACACCTGACAAAAAGAAGTGTGATCGTTTGAACCGGCCCACTTTACCTGATATATTGGCTGGTGACCGCCACACCAACCCACTATACCTGACAGATGGGCTGGTGACCGCCACACTGAGTAACCTCACTTGACCTATAGGGCTGGTGACCACCACACCGAGTGAACACCGGCCCACTATACCTGACAGATGTGCTGGACACCGCCACACTGAGTGGACACTATACCTGACAGATGGGCTGGAGACCGCCACACTGAGTGGACACTATACCTGACAGATGGGCTGGAGACCGCCACACTGAGTGGACACTATACCTGACAGATGGGCTGGAGACCGTCACACTGAGTGGACACTATACCTGACAGATGGGCTGGAGACCGTCACACTGAGTGGACACTATACCTGACAGATGTGCTGGACACCGCCACACTGAGTGGACACTATACCTGACAGATGGGCTGGAGACCGCCACACTGAGTGGACACTATACCTGACAGATGGGCTGGAGACCGTCACACTGAGTGGACACTATACCTGACAGATGTGCTGGACACCGCCACACTGAGTGGACACTATACCTGACAGATGGGCTGGAGACCGTCACACTGAGTGGACACTATACCTGACAGATGGGCTGGAGACCGCCACACTGAGTGGACACTATACCTGACAGATGTGCTGGTGACCGCCACACTGAGTGACCTTACCTGACCTATGGGCTGGTGACCGCCACACTGAGTGGACACTGGACACTATACCTGACATATGGGCCATGGTGACTGCCACACTGAGTGGACACTATACCTGACAGATGGGCTGGTGACCGCCACACTGGACCAGGTAGTCGGTGGCCACCGGCTCAGTCCAGCCCAGGCAGGGGTGGTCGCCCTGCCAGGGCACGTAGCGGAAGTCCAGGCTGCACGAGAAGCACGTCCGATTGGAGAAGGTCGCCTCGGTCAGGTTGAACGCTGCGGCGGCGGCAGGGGGAGCGGAGGGTGAAGCCTACTATATGCGAGTGTAGGGCCAGTGGGCAGTGGCCAGTGCCGCGGTCAGTCAGCGCAGTAAACTAGCAGCAAATCAATGCTGTGGTCGCTCTAATTTCAGCTGATTTCAGTCATTTATTGCTTAAAACAATGCTAACAGTGGCTTAGTGTACAGAAACTCTTTTTTATATGATAAAGTGTTTCACGCTCGGCAACATTTGCGAGATGCAGACAGAGACAACTGTACACATAATACATAAATTCTCTTGGTGACTATAACTATATTCTAACAAGTAACAAGTTACAACTCTAGCTTTTAACCAATGCCTATATTTGTAATCGGTCGAATAAGTTAATACCATACAAATTAGAGGTGGCAAAATGTGGACCCGAGGACCCGGTCCAAAGAACCAGTCTGGACCCATATGGGTCCAGACCGGTTCCTGGAAATTTTCTGACGGGTCCAACCGGGTCCTACCTAAACTGTACATCTTGCACACTACACATTATTGCAAAATATGAAGTGAATGAAGTGAATGTTTCCTGGCACACAGTAGCTCATGAGTATTCCCAGTGGGAAATAGGCTGCTTTACATGATGCAACTAATGATACCTTCAAGTAGTTTGTATTAATTGACTTTTGGGGAACCGGGTCCAACTGGTTCCGATTCCAACTACGACCGGGTCCGACTGGTTCCAGAAATGTCCAGCCGGGTCTGGTTCGAGTCTGGTTCCCAAAATTTTCATCTTTTGCCACCTCTAATACAAATGCCTATCTATATGATAAGAGATAAGGCGCACACCAGCAATATCGGGCCACCCCAATCGAATTAGCTCGATCTCTCTCTTGGGACCATCCCAATCTCATTAGCTCCATCTTTCTCTGCTCAACAGACATCCTCACCTCGTAGATGATCGCCCAGTGCGGGTTGGCACGAGAATAAGGCGAGCAGCGGCAGGCACACACCCAGCGGACTCCGGAGCACACCCAGCGGACCTCGGAGCACACCCAGCGGGCCGCGGAGCACACCCAGCAGACCTCGGAGCACACCCAGTGGACCACGGAGCACATTCAGTGGACCTCGGAGCACATTCAGTGGACCTCGGGGCATATTCGGTGGACCTCGCAGCACACCCATAGGGTTTTGGAGCATACCCAGCGGCATTCGAAGCTGCGTCATGGCGTGTCTCGCTCAGGAAGTCGCGCGGTTATGGCACGACCACAAAGCCGACACACCCACTCGTAACCGGGCTAACACCGCCACCAGTCAGATGCGTGTACCGCAGGCCACAGTTGTCCAACGGTGAAATGCAAAAACTCAGCAATCAACAGCAATAGCGGCAATTCCGTCGATGCTAACGAGCGATCCGATAGCGCACATAGCGTCCATAGCACCGGGAACTACTACGGTGGCCAGCAAGCGCAATTAAAAGCCTAAAGCTGGCCTGCGGCGCTCACCTGACACCAATTTGAAAATTGTAGAGAGCTCACTTGATGACAGTTGCTAAGCTAAATAGCTTATCTAAGGCCAGAGCCTAGGCTGAGGTGTTTCGAACCAGGACTTGCCGATTCGGGTCGGAAGACCCGCTGGTAAGTCCGGCGCTTCAGAGGACTGTCTGGACTGCGACTGTCACCCTCCAGGCCCGTCACCCTCACTGTCACCCGAGTTCCCAGCACACGCCGTCGGACATCCGCCACAGCACTGGCGCCCCTCTCTGATCAATGGCCACCGCGGACGACAGCGCCACTTGGACAGGGGAGTGTGCTCCCGACACCAGAGATCGGGGCCGATACACCGGTCGCCAATCACAGAGCCTTATGCATTATGTGTCATGTGTCGTCCGCGCATGGATGTGTCCGCTCGTTCGTCATTTGTAGCTCACGCAAACGCTGATTAATGCACGAGATACGATGCTGGCGGTCTTACTACTGATCGGCATCTGTTCGATTATAGTTTTTATTTCTTGTTGTTAGCATGTTCTTTAAGATCCCGTCATTCAACCACATTTCAGGTTGTGACCCAATACTTTTTCGTCAGATAATACCTATAACAAAAAGTACGAAACTTTTTTCGCTTTCCACATAACTTGGCTGATCATTACCGGAGTGGGTTCAAATTGATTTTTATTTTTGAGCGTCATTACTAATTTTCAATAAGCCTGAAATTTAATTTGATAGATAGATTGCAAAAACGTGCCACTAACCAACATTGCAAAATATCGTTAGTTGGCTTACAGAATATCGATGCATTTAACTAAGTAAATGAGATATTTTGGTAAAATCACGACACTCATAATTATTCTACGATATAAGAAAGATGGATCGTAAAAGCTGTGTGCAATACCTATGCAAGCGCATTCACTTCTCTTCTTTGTTTTTAATTCATCAAGAAATTAGCTTCCCTTTGTTTTCAGTTCCCTTTAATTGGATGTCAGCCGCATCGTCTCGTGCAGCCTCTTATCATCTGTAGTAGGTACTGGAAATGTTTTCTCCCCATTATATGTAGGTATAACTTAAACAGTTACATATCAGTTCGTCAAAAAAGGAGGTACGGTTTTCTGGGTACCAACAGAATAATTTAGCTAGCGTCAGTCAGTGCCTCTACATATATGCAATGCATCGGTCCAATAAGCACAGGACAGCTGCAGCCGACCCATGCAGGCGCCTGCTGTGCCCGGCGCTGCAGTGTGCCACGTGTCAGCTCTCCCCGCCCTGCCCCTCCGCGCCCCGGCCCCGGTGGGGAAGCTCACAGGTGACGCGGTAGCAGAGATCTACATATCTGACCGGAATATAGTGGCGTGTTGCGATTGGTCCACATGTCGATGTGTGAACGTCATACACTCAGAGATGGTGAACGACTTCGCGTCAGCATATGGCTGATGTCGAGAGATAGAGCCAAGTGGTTCACAATTCACATACTAGAGACAAGAGGTTAACAAAGACAGGAAACAAGGAAACACATTAGGGCCGACAAGCATGAGTCACTGAACGAATATGAGTGTAAATCTATCGTTGCCGTGACGTGGGGCCAGACAAATATATAATAAGAATGATATGGTCGGTCATGGCTGGAGATGATTCGACCCGTGCTAAAAAATAAAAAAATGAATAACGATGAAATAGAGCGAAGATCTCGAATGTTGTCAAAATAAGTGGCCTTAGGATATTTTCCCATTATAGGCTTGTAACGTTACGACAGCATGACTTCTAGAAAACCTCAGTCAACGAAACTTAACCCGCGCATGACGGAAGAGGGGCGGGGGGCTCTACAGATAATGGTGATGCCATGCACACGAGAAGACTTACCATGCCATCTACCTGAAGTGCATCGAACGTTCGACATAAGCAGCACCGGTGAATCGGTCGTGGTCTTAAACGTGCAGTGGGTTCATGGCAGGTACTATAAAAAAAAATGTGCTTTATCAGTCACTGACTTAGTCGACAATCAACTCATGTCTACCTTGAATGACCAAAAAAAAACCGCACACACACCATTAACCTGCGCCCCGAAGGGCTATCGGCGTACCCTACCACCCGTAGGGGGCCCCTAAGATCTCGGAAATTTACCGGCCGATTTTCAAAATTCAAACGGCGTTCAATAGCCCCACCGGGGAACTACCTAGTGACCAAATTTCATTGACCTAGGTCAAACCGATGACGTCACAGGTCAGGTCAAAGGTCGGATTTTCACCGTTCACAGGCATTTCATGAAATGTGTTGTGAAATCGAGTAAATTGGTAAGCTATTGAAAACCGTCGATGGTACATTGTTCGTCAAACACATAGGTAGGTCCTTTGCTATCTGAGGTCACTGATACCAGGTCAGGTCACAGAGGTCAGGTCACTGGGGGGTCACAATATGAAAGTGTCGTGTGATACATGTTTTATGGTCCATTTTACATGACAAATGTGATTATGTGGGTCAGGCAGCCTTTGGGGCCAGCTTAGGTCACGTTTTGGTCAAGGTCAGGTCAAGGTCAGGTCAAATTAGGTCAAATTTGAATGTTGATATTTTTCCATAAAATGGGTATTGATTCGATGCAGCTCGTCACGGGAAGTCTAATGGTGGTTTTTGACATTTATTCCGTTTTTTTTCGAAACTCAAAGAAGGTTTTGGATTTTTTGGCTAATAAATAAAAAAAATTCTTTTTTGATTTTTGGGGATCAAAAACCAAAAATTTTTAAAATCAGAGTTAGCAGTTTTGTAGCCCTGGCAATTCTACACCTTTTATGTCTTGATCATTTTTCTGTATCTTCAAAGCTGTAGGTCTGACAGCTCTTCTCGCGAAGGTCTTTTTTCGGTCGAAAATGGCAGAACATGACGTCATTCTGACGTCATTTGTGGCCAACCTATCATAGCCTCTGGAAAAAATTGTTTCAATGCGTAAAATAGAGGCCCGAAGGGGTCCTGAAAGTTTTGTGGCGATATCTCCACCCGTTTAGGAGATATCGACGGAAAAGGACAGGGGAGGGGCCATTTCGGCCCCCCTACGAGGAGCTGGTTAAAGGTTAGGTAGGTACAGGGTGTCCAGAAAAAAATACTACGGAAATTAAGTCGCATTCATTAACGCACGTGCCGATTTTGTTCCAACTTCAAGCGCTTATAGTGCAAGATTTGGCAAAACTCATGAGCACTGTAATGCGTCGTTGGAAAGTTGTCTGGCTGCCCTCCAATATGGTCAACATGACCATCAGTCACCTGCAGACCGTGCTAGTGCTGGGGCTGATCCGCCGTAAGGCCGCTCACATTGAGTATCTGCTTTGACTCATTTGAGGAGCTGCCGCTACTAACCAAAGAGTTAACATGCCATGTGGCACCTGCTGTCTGTTTTGCCATATTTTGCGAATACAAGCATGTGCCATTTTAAATTGTAAGGTGTTTATTTTCGGAATTACAGCAAAAAATAATAGTATCCGTTTTTTCTGGACACCCTGTACTTAACACATGAACGTACTGTTAGGTGAGCCTATGCAAGAACTCTACGTGGTAGCGTAACCGGCCAATTGAACAGCATGCAGCGATCGAGGAAAATCGGCATAAAATCAAAATCGTTCAACATTTTCTGTTATTTCTTCGCATGGAGATGTGCGATGGAACAAGCAATCATGCAGACCATTCACTAAACCCTCGCCGGACCTATTGGTTTTCTACATACGCGCCGGCCGAGGGGGGGGGGGGCGGGTACGACCCCCCCTCGCCGTTTCGCCCCTGGTGGAGCTAGCGCGTCGCGGAAAAAACGAGCGTGTGCGCCGTTACGAGACGCAGAGATTGGTACCCGATTTTAAGGTCCCAGGTCAACCGGTGACCTCTGAGGTCAGGTCAAGTGCCCCAAGGTACGGTTCAGTTTTTGGTGAATAGCTTCGCAAAAAACGGCCGCAGAGCCGCGATTTTGGCAGCATCGTGTTTGCCTTGCTCAGGCGCGTCGAATGATATACTTTTTGTCCGGGTCAGGTCAACTTGGGGTGTTGACCTCAGGTCAAGGTCAGGTCAGCACCCCCAGGTCACGAAGTTGGTCGAAAGAGGCCATGTCGCATATCATTCGATTCGGCAGGTCTTCCTGAGTCCATTGGTGGCTTTCCCGACTCGCTAGCTAAATTTGATCCAGAGTTATTGACGAAAAACTAATATGACCTTGATGACGTCATAAATGACGTCACGCAAGGTCAACATTGCAAAAGTGACGCATCTCACCTTGCAAGGAGTGCATAACATCACGATACGATTCTGTGTGCTTGAGATAGTTGGAGATCGTTCCCGGTGCCAGAATAGCAGTTTGTATTTTTCCCCATTGACTTATAATGGTGAGGTCACGAAAATGACCTGACCTCATATGACCTTTAGGAAAAATCCGAGATATACAAGTTGTGAGACTCATAATGGATACTAGATCCTGCAAGTTTCATTTCCCTGTGACATCTCCTCTGGCAGTGAGGGCGTTGCGAAGTTGCGACATCTGAAGACCGTGC